CCGGTCTCGCCGCCGCGGCCTAGCGGGGCCCGGCCCGGCCCGGCCCTGCCGCAGGGCTGCCCCCGCCCCGCCCCGGGGGGGACCTGTTGATTCCTCCTTTTGTCTCCGTGGCCCGGTCCCCGCTGCGGGCACGGCCCGGCCTCGGGCCCCGCGGGCGCTGGGAGGCCCCGAGGCCCGGAGCAGGAAGTCGCTTCAAGTTTGATCTTTTTATTCCTTTTTCGCCCCTCCGGCTCTGCCCAGCAGCTCTGCCGCAGGGCTTCCCCTCCCGAGCAGGGCGCTCCCAGAACACAGGACTTGTTCCTACTTCCCATGTCATCTCCCCCATCTTGCTTTAACCCTCCTCCAGGCCTGTCCCAGCTGCCTTCCTCCTTTCTTTCCCCACCTCTTCAGCTCCTGTTTTTGCAAAGAGCAGCCTGCAGCCGCAAGCAGAACAGAAACGAGCACGGGCTCACGCACTGGGCATGGGTGACTTCCTGTGGGAGATGACCTCTGCTCCACCGAGTTCACGTCCCCGGGGCGATGCCCATGGCGATGGTGCTCTTGTGAACAGCGCGCTGGTATTCTCCACGCTATGGCTGTAGCTCTGAAAATGCTTCCAGCCACCTAGCCATCTTTGGCATCAGGTCTGTGGCTGTAGCTGTTGCAAAGCATGGCAGAGCCCACCTGACATAGGAGTCTGTGTGAAAAGGAAGCGAGCACTTGCTTCTGCAGTGAAAGGGTGCAAATAATATCTAACACAGCAGCTCAAGCGGGATAAACCTTCACTACTCATCTGAATATGGCAGCATCCCTGGTTGCTGCCTCGGTTTACCCCAGTACTTCTCAGCCAGGTGCTGCTGCTGCAGCTGCCATCCTGGAAACGGAGGCAGCAGGTGGAACGCTCCCATGTACCCTGTTTCAGGAAGTGTGTGGTGGGGGACCCAGACTGGGAAGGGCCCGAGCAAGAAGGCAGGAGCTAGATGGAGGCTGATAAGAGAGCCTTAATGCAGCAGGAGTGCACGTGTGCCACAGCTTTGCATTCAGGGCAGTTTTATCTGGCTGCCATAGTGCAGACAACACCTGCGTTGAGGGCCAGGTTGAAAACCACTGATCTAACACTTCCACAAATGCCTGTAAGCAGCATCTCTGTTATCCTAATTAGATTAGCTAGGTGAAAAACAGTTGCTGTGCTGAGATTTCCCTGGCAGAGATGTGGAGTATTTTATTTGAGCAGCATTAATGGATTCTTGAAATACACAGATACTTCTACGGTCTTCTCTTCCAGTTTCAGCCCCTTCCCAAATTGGATGTGCTTTTGATCGGGCTCTGCTTTGTGATCACACAGACCCATTTGGGTTCTGCATGCTTGATGTATCCAAAAAAAGAAAAAGAAACCCTTTATTTTTCCTTTAGGTCTGAAGAGACTGATATGTTTGTGCATTTATATGTTATGGTTCTATCTGCACTTATAATACATGACCATGATTTGTCACTATCTTGGTCCAACTGTGGTTGTAGAGGTGTAAACTGTATCTTGGCTCATTTTAAACATTGCATGATAAGGTCGTAACCATACTTGGGTTCTCTTTTTATGCTGCAGATTTCACCATTGCTACCATCATTGGAGCTACAGTAGTGCAAACTGCAGGTCCTAAAGCGTGCTGTCTTCAGTGGCTTGTCTGCAGTGCATAGGCCCCAGCTTCTCTGTTCTCTTGGTAACGTCAACCAAATATGTCAGCCTTGATCATCTGTAGTCATGGGGTGATGAACCGTTAAATGAAAAGGGCACTGGTGAAGTAATACTTGATGCCAAAACAAATTCCATGCCTTCATCCAAAAAAACTGTCACCTTTAGAATTATCAACATGACAGTGCTTTATAGAGATTATTATTTACTTAGTGCTTAGTATGTTGGCATTTTAAAACTATGTAAGATGACTGTTACCTGCCCTGAAAAGTTTCTATTTCAGCATTCAGATGTTGCTACTTTTGCAAGGGATATAGGTGGCAGAGTCTAGTCTTAAATAGACAACATGGCATTTTATGCTCCTAAGGAAGTAATCTGAAACTTCTGAACCTTAAATACTAATGCCATATCCCATATGTTAGCAAGTTACGTGTGTGCATCTCTGAAGCCAAAGGTTTTCTGAAATAGTGCTTAAGTTTCCATGGCGCTTCAATTCCACTGCTTTGATCATTTTGAGTAGCTGATATGAATTGCCATTACCAGCTCTAATGATGCACAGGTTTGATAGTATTGTTTGATGTTATGGTTGAAAACATGATAAAAACAGCAATGTATAGTAATGGCTAGTAACAGTTTGCTGTTCAGTAGGGATAAAATGGTGTGAATCCATTGTATAGACTTGAGTTCTAGGACAGGCTTAGTTTTCTAATGATCTTCCATAAAAGGTTATGGGAATTGCTCACCCCACCCAAACCCCCAGTTAGCCTATTTTAGGATTTTACCTAACTCTCTATATTAGGTGTTATATTTTGGTTTATTCCCAGTATAGAGGGGAAATGACAGATGATACAGATACAGAAGGTAGACTAGTTCTAATATTCTACATTGGAGTATATTTTGCTTTGTAAATGCCCCAACACACCTGATTGCAGCAGCAATTCTAGTCTCTAAGGCATAGGTGCTCTTTGTCTCCCTGGAGTACTGGTACAACCACAATGTTGAGATTGCTGTAGTGGAGAGATGCACTAGACTGGTTCTTTCAATGCCACTGTTCAGACACTGAAACAAATGAAACAGCTGTGTAATCCATGTTCCTGTTAATGTTTCTATCTTGCAGAAGAAAATCACTATAGTTATTTGTAACTCATATTTTGGTAGTCAGACACCAAGGTTGTATTTAATTTAGTTTGTGAAAATTGCTGCATTGTTTCTCCTTTCATTAATGGAAAGTTGTTCCCTGTGGTGGGGATGAGTACCATAAAGCTTGTATCATTTTGATTATAGCAGGGGTGTCGCATCTAGTCTTGCAGGCAGGGTGAATGGTGTAGGGCTGGTCCAGCAGCTGGATCATACCTACAGGTCCCCCCACCCCATGCCAAATCCTGCATACACAGTACCTGCTCTAGGATCCATGCTACATGTGGCACCTGCCCCAGCAGACCTGGGGTCCATGCTGCATGTGGTGTGCTGGGGTCCATGCTGCATGTGGTGTGCTGTCTCCCCTGCTGGTCTGGGAGTGTGCTGCACATAGTGCCCACTTGAGCAAGTCTAGCCCATGTACTACATGCAGTGCTCATGGGTGCTGTGTACAGCATGAGTTGCAGAGCAGCTGGGATGAGTGCTGAAGGCTGTGGATCCTGCATGCAGGGCTGGTCTGGTACACATCACCTAGGTCAGCTTGGACCTAGGGGCAGCACCAGAGGCCAGGTGATGGGGCTGTACAAGCCAGATGCATCTTTGATACCTCTGGGTTACAGCAAATAAGATATAATTCTGCTTCAAAGAAAATGCAATCCAGATTCATCTCAGCCAAATTGCAGGACCTGGTTCTCATGCAGGACTTAATTATTGGGACATTTGCTGGGAGTGAAACATAGCCATGCACAAGCACTCCAACAGATTTTTGGAGACTGGGGTAACTTTTTGATACACATGGTAGATAGGCTAACTAGGGGAGAGAGGGAGCTCTTCTTGACTTACTGCTCACAAGCAGAGAATAATTGGTTAAGAATATGAAGGTGGAAGGTACCTTGAGTGACAGGGACCACAAAATGATGGAGTTCAAGATCCTAAGGGGAGTAAGGATAGAGAACAGCACAAGAAGGACACTGGACTTCAGAAAAGCAGACCTGAACCAACGTGGGGGAACTGATGGGCAGGACTCCCTGGGAGGAAAAAGCAGTGCAGGAGAGCTGGCTCTAAGTTTTAAGGAGGCCCATTTTTTAGGGCATAGGAGCAAAGTATCCCAATGCAACAGAAAAATGGGAAGTGTAAGAGGAGGCCAGCCTGGCTAGATGGCAGTCTCTTCAATGAGTTGAAACTCAGAAAGGAATCCTGTAAAAAGTGACACTTTGGTCATAGTATGTGGTAAGAGTGTAACAGTATTGCATGGGCACCCAGAGAGAGTGTTTGAAGGGCCAAGGCATGACTTGAGATGCAGCTGGCAATGGATATCAGACAGAAAGGGATTCTACAAGTATGTCAAGAGGAAGTGGAAGACCAGAGAAACCGTAGGTCCTTTATGGAATGTGGAAGGCAGTTGAATTACAAATAGTTCAGAGAAGGCTGAAGTATTTGGCAGCAACAGTTGCTGCTGAGTAGTTGCTTGGTAGTAATGTGAACCAAGTCTCATGATGATGCTCCAGTTCATGCCAGATTGGAATTGCAATACTGATCATCTTCACAGAAGTGAAGATTAAAACCATAATTTATAAGTCACTCAGACATGTTACATGTGCACATAACTGTGCAGTTGTTACTGTGCAGTCATCTAGTACCTGTGTATGTACTAAACTGCACAGTAACCGCAGTTACTGTGCAATCCCGGTGGTGCATGGCTTGTTTCTGAACCTACTGCACAGTATTGTCAGTGTCATGGTTTGTGCCCGCTGGCACTACAGCACCAGAATGATGAGCTGCGACACCATAGGTCGATGCTACGGTGACATAACATCTCATGGATGTGCCCATAGTGTACTAGATAAGTGCATAGTATGCTTATCTGCTTGACACTTTGCCAGTCCCAATTCTTTGCCTATTGTTGACATTATGCAGATAACTGATGTTTGGTATTTCTGTTAAGTACTCGGCATCTTTTGGCTTCTTTGTCTACTTTGTAATGTAATGGTACTCTCTTTAATGGCCTAAAAATTAGCCTTAATCAGAGGGAAAGCAGCTGTCAAGGGGCTATTATTAGTCTTGAAACTGAGAGGAGCAAATCAGTTTTGAGGCTTCTAGCTCTCATTCTCAAGGCTGCTGATAGAAACTGATTACTGGAAGTATTGAAATGAATGAAGTTAAGCAGTTTTGGGGCTGCTAAGTACTTAACATTGCCAGTACCTTGGTACCAATAAACATCAGTGGTTCTTAACCTCTTTGGACTGAAGGGACCCTCTCCATTTATGTTTTTGAAGCTGGGTGCTACTCAGTTCACAAACTAATTTATATATTAATTACATATTATATCCTTGCAGTGGAGGTGACGAATCAGCCAGGCAGGGACAAACCTGAGTCTGTGCCTATTATCTATCTTTCCCCTCCTAACTTGCTCCTTTCCTCGCACCTCGCAGCACTCTTTAAAGGATCTGGTATCCTTGTTGAAAATCACTGGTTTATATTAAGGTTGGATAAGTACATATATTTGGCAAGCCCACAGCTTTTTTCAGCCTCAACTTAAACAGTACACTGTATTGTGCAAAAAAAGCGTGAAAAAGGCAAAGTTTTGTTGGTTTGTTTTTTGGGGTTGTTTTTTTTTTTGGGTGGGGGGGGTGAAATCCAGAACAGCAAACAACAACAACAAAAAAGCACCATCACTTGTACTAGATGGCAGTGTCAGTCAGAAGTTTAAAAATTGAATGGAGTGTGGAGAGCTAGATCATGTGTGCCTGCACA